CACAGTAGGGACCAAACAAAACCCAACCCAGGAATTAAGCCACCTAGTGCAGTAGGGGCCTAACCAAACTTTTGTCTACCTTGTGTTCATACTTTTACTTTTAAAGGGTGTGATTTCTTTAAGGTTGAGGCCCTAAAAATAAAAGTAGTGTATATATGTGTGTGTGCGTGTGTATATATATATATATATATATATATATAAGATATCACAAAACAACTATAGGCGAAAATGAACAGTGATTTCGCCTACCCTCCTCACCATCCAAACTTCATCGCACGGTCACAGTTGTCCAATAGTGCTTCAATTTTCTTTCCTTTTTTACTAATCGGAATGATCTGAAATTTGGAGCGTTTACAGGGATATTTTGGTCAATTTATAGTTTTCGAATTATTTTTTTCATATTTTTATTAGGTGTGCCTCACTAAGATGTACACACGCTTCAAATTTCAAGTAATTTGGATTTGTAGAAAAAAAATGAAAATTAAAACACTACCGGACAACTGTGACCGTGCGATGATTTGGATGGTGATGAGGGTAGACGAACTCACTGTTCATTTTTGTGTATAGGCGTTGGGAAGAGTCTTCCATATATATATATATATATATATATTAGGAAAAAGTTTACATAAGGTTGCAACCTTAAAATGTAGAATGAAGTTGCACCTAAAAATCCATCATAAATGGTTGCTTTAATATTGAAAGACCCTCTAATTGATCATCTCGACATCGAGGTGTATGAATATAAAAAGAAAAATAGATTTCGTGTCTCAAAATAGTGTATCTTACAACACATTATCTGGACCGTCCATTTTCAAGATTTTTTTGTGTTTATAAATCTACTTGATTTGAACCAATTTTGGAGTCTAAAATTTTATAATTAGAGATGAAAATAGATCCTTGAGCCATCCTAAGATTTTTTTTTTACACCAGAATTACATTTATGATAAAATTCGAAGGTACGCCTTAATTTGATTGTTTAAGGTTGCAACCTTATGCAAACCACACCCATATATATATATATATGAGGCGCTCCCATATACGTGTAGTTCATATATACAAGATCGACCAGGGTCGCTCCCTGAGCGCTTTCAAGTGCTCCACGGGTCGGGAGCGTTGGCCAAGTGCCGACCCTAAGCTCCCGCACCCACACCCGCACCAACACCCGTTCCTGCTTCCAACAACTATGATTCAGCTCAATGATCTAAAAAGCGGACCGCCTAGGCAGTCTAGAAGGCTTGAGCGCATCGCCTAGGACTAGGCAGCCAAATTTGCAGATATCCCTGGACGCCCGCTTAAGTGAGTCCTGAACCCACCTAGGCAGCCGCTTAAAGCCTGTGTCCCGCCCAGGGACGGAAATGGCCCTCGTTGAGAGCGTTTTTTGTTCATTTGTTTTTAAGTACTAAAGGGGTACAAGTGTGGATTTTAGGTTCATTTGAAACCTAAAATCCATTAGAACCTATTTTAGAGAGAGAAAAACCCCACAATTTGTTTCTTGCTACCGGGCTGCCCACGTTCTGGGCGCCCGCCTAGGCGCTGGTTGGCCTGGACACCCCAGCCGCCTAGCGCTTTTTGAAACACTAGTTCATTTACACGAATCCTATTCCATCGTTTTGCTCCATCAAGGGCCATACCATCTGCCAGACTGTAAGTCACTACATATTTTCTCACTACTTCAGCCATTGTCAGTCCAAAGCTTGGATGCGAAAGGAGGACCGTTGTGTCAAGTCAGGAGCCAGCAGAAAACTCTTGCCACATCCCTATCAAATTTATCCTTACTCAACATGTAACAATATATATATTATGATAAAAGAATTAAGGCAGAGCCTTGGTGTACGTTTTCATGTTAGAATAGTGTGTGCCACTTATCTCTCTTCTTCTCTATGTTTTTTATCATTCACGTACAAAAGGAGTATGCTAGGACAACATGGCCCTAAGACATCCGAGAACTGACGTTGATATGTCAACACATATATATTCAGTCTAAATCCCGAGTTGAGATACACTAGTGACTTGCTCATTTTGTCAAGGCTCCCGTAGCTGCACAGCAGTCCGACCAAAGTAGTTACCCTATCCAAACAGGTTTCTAAACAACCACCCTCACATGTGTAGTTCAGTGAGCATGAGAACGGTTTTGTTGAAGAAAGTTTATTGCAAATTTCATTGGCAAAATTTAATTTGATAAACATATCTTATGATGTGTTTATGAGGTTTTCTTTTAGCAAGATATTATAATTGATACCCAATATAATTAGCAGCTTGAGAAAAACCCACATATATCTAAGAATTAAACAGATGAAAATCCTTTCTAAAATCTGGAAATAATTCATTGGAATTTTTATAGAACATATTCACAAAATGAGGGCATTCCATTACTACGATCAAATAATACAAAAGCCCCTAAATATGCAATCAGGTTATTAAATAATTATCTGGTACATAAAGAAGAATATTAAATCATAACTAGAATTTGATTATGGACCTAAAACTGCACAACTTGAGAAACACCCTTCCTAGCTTCTTCATTGAAGCGTATTTTACTAGTGCGCAACCCTGTCTTCCAATTCAAATGCCTTGCATGTCATCAAAAAAGGATCTGTATTACAAGTTGGTGATCAGCGAGGTTGGAACACCTATGTCTACCCTAGCTTTGATCCCACAACTCAAATAAAATGACTTTTCTAAAACAATCACTTTGTATGTTAAATTCACTAAATATCAGACAGGGTAAGGTGTTAGCGAAATTTAATATGTGATTTGTTGAATATCGAAACAGAGACAAATACAAGTGTATAGCGTCATATAGATAAAATTGAATTTGGTAATTTCTTTCAGCCCATATGGGAGTCTTGGAACTACAAAACGACATATCTTAAATTTATTTTATAAGATACTTCAAAAGTCATTTATATTTTAGAGTAGTTTATTTAAGATGTGCCACATGTAAGGGCAAGAGGAGCCTCATTGACTTTGTCCATGTATTTGGAAAAGTTTATCACTTTCGCTACGCTTGTGGTCACCACAATGACACATCTTTATACACATTTGTCAACATAGTGGCACGTCTTTATACATGAGGTCACCATGATGAAACAGTAACCATAAACATTTGGTCACCATGATGACACTTGTCCATTCATATATTAGATACTTGGGATTGGAGCTGTAGGAAATTCAGGGTGCTTTCCTAGAAAAAATAAGGTTGATGCAACATACCCAACTAGATTACATTTTATGTTAATCTTCCCCATGCTTATACACTCTACGTCAAACTTTGGAGGATGGAGTCAGGTTCAGTCATAAAGAAACTGATGCATGAATCTTTTCAAACTAAACCTAAAGAGGATATTTCTCATCCACATATTGAATCTCGGATGAGAGACTCAGGATAAAAGATAAGTTTCTAGTTGGTATTCAGCTAAAAATCGGCAAATTTTATCTAAAGCAGGCTTCAAATGCATATTCCTCCAAAAGTCCCTTCGTTCACTGAGCATATCGTAGCATGTACGAGATAAGAAGAAAGCTTAAAACCATAAAATTAAAGCAAAGCAAGGTGTATACACTGGTTCATATACAATCAGTCAATCCCGATGGCTCAAGGGATTGCTGCCATTCGAACTAGTAGCATCTAATAATTCATGGGAATACTCACATCAACAAATGAACAGAAAATAAATTAGCATGCAGCCCCAAACAAGGAAACCCAATACAGAAATGGTCCAGTCCACCCAAAATGAGTGGATATAGCAAAAGGTATGCCTTTGCAAGAAACAATGCCGTACAGCCCCCACATGGCTTCCAAAGACCATTTAGTGGATCTTAGATGTACATAGCATATATTGCTTTTTAACACATGAACCCCGAGTTCAATTTGACTGAGTACATCATTGCATCATTAGATATGGACTACTCATGTTGGCTGCTTTTGTATCATTAGTTGATTACTTTCTTTAGTTCAAAATAGGTACATTATCTAGACATTAGGAGGTCCACAAAGGAATGCTATGGGTTTCTAGGCAACATGGTTTTTTCTTATCAGAATAAAAAATAAGATATGGTTTCCAAATAAAGGCAGATGTAGTGAATAAAGATGAGATTCATCAACCTCACCACTTTATTAAGCTAAAGATGTATTATTAAGAACATGCCCAATTATCTGTTCCCCAACAAGGCAACACATATTGAGGTAGAACGTCACTTTATCAAAGAGAAGTTACTTGGTTGCGATTTTTGTTCCACATGTTACTTCATCAGAACAAGTTACAAGTGTGAAAAAAGTCAGGACATAGAAGCAGAATCAAATCTAAACTATGGATGCTCTTGATTGCTGGTCGTTGTAGGCACATATATTTTATTAAATATGTATGTGTATTTTAGAGCAGGGCAACTATCTCTTCCATATGTTACTTCATGAAAACAAATTACAAGTTTCAAGAGTAACCATTTGAGCGAACAAACAATCACTAAATCTGTCCATTCTCTCTATTATAGATGAAAGTTTGACTGGGGGCAATGACTCCATTTATGTTCTGTTTGACTTATAAGGGACATTTCGGTCATTATTCACATGTGAGCGAACTTCTGTCATGGGCTCGAGCAAGGGATTTCTCCCTCTTTTCAGTTAATGAGATCAGCTCATTCAGCTTGGCAGTACAACATCTGCAACAAGCAATTCTTCTATTCCAACTAAAGAACCAAATAGTTTAACCAGAAGTAGTTGTTGTCTTGCAAATTCCACCAGTCAAAGAAATGCTTTGGGGTTCATTAACCATAAATTCTCAAGCAGAAATGACACGGCAGAGAAATCATATAAGTTTTCCACTTTCACCTATTTACACACAAAACAAAGTGCAAATGTTCCTAAACCATCATTCAACAAATGTACACAAGTGCAATTAAGCCGCATTAACCATCACTATATTGGAATCATTCAGTCAAAACTACCAGACCAAGTTTATGAATCAGGAATCCAGCAGTTGAAAATTTTAAATTGTAAAACTCACTGGTGGAATTCCAGCTTGAAGACCAAGCTCAGCAGCTGCTAAAGCTGTTAAGGGTGTAAGCTCAGATGGTTTAACAACCACTGTACAGCCACAGGCAAGAGCAGGACCAACCTGAAACATAAGGGCAAGCAGCTATGATGAGTATATTAACATGCAACCATCAAAAATCGCAGATGCTTCATATTCTTATAACAGTTGACATTAAGGTAAAAACTGAAACATCACCTTCCGTGTGATCATGGCAAAAGGAAAATTCCAGGGGGTAATTGCTCCAACCACACCTACAGGCTGCAAAATGCCATAACAATAGAGGAGACACATCAAATACCCAATGTAAGTATGAAAGACTGGAATTTTCAAATGAGCAGCCCATGATATTTATTAGTTGAAATTATCTCATTGGTAAGCATTTATAAAAGATGAGAGAGAGAAGACTTAGGTGGGCTGGCCATGTGTCGTCTACCCAATACAACACTTGTTAGGAGGTGTGAGTTAGTTCAAGTGGAAGGATTAAAAAGGGCAAGGGGTAGACACAAAAGGACGTGGCTGGAAGTAGTCCGAAAAGATATGGGGACTTATGGCCTCACTAAGGGTATGACTTTAAATAGAGAAGAATGGCGGCCCAGGATTCGTGTAGCCGACCCCAATGAATTGGAAAAAGGCTATGATGATGATGATGGTCCCATTGGCAATCATTTATATATTTACAGGGAGTCGTATAAATAAGCAGCAAAGAGTGAATGAAGCAAGCAATTAAGAAACAAATCTCAAAAGAAATTGACTACAGATTGAAGGAAAAATGAAGAAGATTGAAGGAAAAATGAAGAAAAGGAGTTGCCAGTCACCTCCATTGACTTGGTCCCTTGATAATATCTTATTTCTATATTAATAGCCTGTGCCATAGCTCAAGAAATGAAATAAAAGAAGAAAAATCAAATTGTACAACAATGTGAACATGAATTATACGAAACAATGAAAAAACAATTTAACAAACACACACACAAGCATTTCAAGTTCGACTTGGTATAAAATGAAAACTAGGGCTGCCCAATTCAGCAAGATGGATTATCAAATTTGTTCAAAACTATTCTGGTTACAGATAAGCCATTGGTTTTGAAAATATTGCCCAAAAAGGTGTTGGATCTTTCTCAAACTGAAAGAACCAACACAACCACCAGTGAGTTTTGCCCTCTGTCACCATCAATCATCCAATCGAATTGGCTGGATATGAAGTTGATCTGAACCAATCACTCTTCCAGACCTTCCAGTCTGGTTTTAAAAACAATGGTAAACATTCATTGGGTAACTGAAGAATGAGAACACCATGATTTCAATTATAATACTTCACACTCCACATTGCCATTGTTGTGCATTGAAAGTACATGTTGAGAATAGTAGAACATAGCTCTGAAGATTCTAAGCTAGGGCCTTTGTCTTATATGAGGTGTGAACTAGTATATTAACGTTTGTCATATATTGCAAGCTCCTGCATTCCATTCATAAGGTGACAGCGAGAAATGGATAAGACAGAAATAATTCATGCATATTAACATACGAATAATCATGAAGCATCCAAATCAAACAAAATTCCCAAGATTGAAACCAATAATATAACAAAGATTTAAATGAGGTTCATGACAACCTGAAATATAACTAAATGACATACTCTTCAATTTATGACAAATAAAATTACATTCATTCACAAGATGCAGGATAATCATGTCAGCCAAGGAAAGTTATACAATAGGATGACTTGCCCTCAGAGAAGCTCCAAGTTTTACCTGCTTCAAAACAAACAAGCGTCGATCGGCTGATGTAGGAGGAATAATATCCCCATATATCCTCTTCGCCTCTTCGGCATAAAACTCAATAAAGGCAGCCCCATAACCAACCTGCAGAGGCAGTTCAAGCATACAATTAATCAACACCACTTGGATCATTTACACCTATACGAAAATTTATTCAAGTTAATATGCTAAACTCAAAACGAGAAAGAATTACCTCCCCATTAGCCTCCTGTAAAGGCTTTCCTTGTTCAAGTGTAATAAGCTGCCCCAAATCTTCCTTGTGGGAAATAAGTAAATCATACCTAGGAAAAATGTCCGGACATACAGAAGTTCTCATCAAGATATTCATAAGACAAATGCCAATTATGAAACAGCATGAGATTGCCAACAGAAAACAAAAATCCTCAGCATACACGCATGCATAATACAAATAGAAGCAAGAAAAAATATCCACCGAAAACGACAAACTGATATCCATAATCTTGCAGTGCATCCGAAGTTCATCTGAACTTGCAAAGATACTGATTACAACCTAGACATATATTTCCAGCATAAGTTTGCAGAACATTAAACCAATACAGGAGTGAATATCAGGCAAATGATTTGTCACGCAGTAGAGAAATGGCCACTTTGACAACTTTAAAATCCCAAAGGTACTGATGGATACTGTCATAACTCCATATATCAACATGAATTTGAGATAATTTTAATTAGCAACTAGGATGGAGAACTGCACAAGAGAATTGGTTTATCTGATGTGCAGAAATAATAACAAACCTTAGATATCAAATAAATCTTTCATTTTACGTCATATGACATATGAATTTCAAAATAAAACCATAATATAGTGTTATACATCTGACGACTTTAAAAGATAACTCATACATTAAATCGTAGGACTCATATCTATAGCTATCAAATATAAACATTGATAATCATGAATTTAGTATGCTTGAATTAAGATTTTTTGTAAAAATTTCCTATTGTCCATCTTACTTTTTGTATTCCCTAAGACATAGGTTCCTAATTTATTCAACAAAATACGGTAATATCCATGGGCAGTGAGAGATCCCTGTGGCATAAGTGATTACGTTCCAGAACCACCCTTGATGTCCAAGTTAGGTGCCATCTTGTGTCAAACAGTTGTAAGCCCACCATTAGAGATAGTGACTGCCATTGTCAGGTCAACTATGGCTGCAGGTCCTGAGAAGGTTAAGAGAGTGTGCCCCCTGTGGTCTTTGAAAATCCCTCCTGCCCCAGCCAAGCCAAGATTCTCCATAGAACTGAAGTCAAGATCCAATTTTATGACCCTTTGCTCAGGTGGCATCCATAAGGACGATTTGGGTGTTGGATGTGGGTTAGACCAAGTGATATGTTCCCAGTGGGTCATGACTAACAGCCGCAGAATTGCTGTGGCTTTGATACAGTCAGTCAGTGCGCCCAAATTGGAGTAGTACCCTTTATAAATTTTACCATACATTCAAGCCATAAAACCACTGCATGGCTACGCCTGTAATGTGCCATAATAATATCCCCAAAGACGGGAAGGACGGAGAAAAACCAACACAGAAATAAAACCGTCTAGAGATCTAGGTGTGATTGACTGCTATTCAAAAAGCTCAAGGAAGAATGCTGCCTTGGAACATCCTTGAGGCTAAATGACCTCGTAATATTTTACAACTTCAATAAAATTTGATAACAATCAAAACAACCCAAAACGGCAAAGCAAATAAAGAACAAAAAGGACTTTCCTCACACTAAGTGATGAACCAAAGAATTTACTACTTTGATCCCCATCCCAAACCCAATTCTAAGAGCAAATTACATGCTACACACTCGACGGTCAAGCAGACCTACCTTACACAATCAAACTCATGCATCCTAGCACATCTCATATTTGCTACTACTTGGATATGCTCAAGGACCATCATGAATCAGCTAAGACAACCATTTCTTCAAGAGGCCTTTTCTCTTGAACAGCTGCACCTCTAATTCCAAGACCTTGCCACTCCTTGGCTTTGGATATTGACCCCACTTAAAAAGACAAAATTCGTTACTTCGATACTACCTTGCCTAAGGAATGAGTGAAATGACAAATCATTTTTTCCAGATTATCCACTATGCCCATAGGGACACAGAAAATGGCATCACACATATTGACATACATCACAAGGTGGATTTCATAGGGAACACTTGCATAAAAAAATACCAGCAGGCTTTCCTGATGCGCTATAGTCATTCAGAATTTTTAATCACTAGACCCTAGATCCTCTTCGCACCTTCCACATATGACAGAAAGCCCAAGTTAGTAATAGGAAGGACTCCTTTGTACATCTCAATATCTCTGCAATTGACTTAAAGTCTGGCTAAGTAAATCACTTCAAGAGACGAAACCTTTATCCCAAAACCAACTCAAGCCATCTTATCATTTATAAATTTACAACTTGAGGGGACCTGAAGCCACAGAGAGAAAAATATCATCAGAACACCATAGATGCACAAGGCTTGAAGCCCTTCAATTCAACCTAGGCTAGTTACACAAACATGTATTTCATCAAAAAAATCTAAGACAATTATAAATAGGAAAGGAGAAAGCAAATCACCCTAGTCATAATCCTCCACAGCAAGTATAATATCCTTTGGAAGCACCATTCACCAAGTTCGAGAACCCATGGACACTAATTCTTGAAACCACCTTGTCTATCTACCCTCCAAAACCATCGAACAAATAGTCGTGAAAGCCCATGCCCATGTGCTCTCTAGATCAGCTTTGACAACAATGCCCCCTTCAACAGCAAAACACTGCCCAATCTTAAGTTACATGAAGAACTAACGCATCCGTTGTTTCCATTTCTATACTTTATAAAGCTGTGTCATGATGCCTTTCCTAATGACTTTAACTAGAGGTTCTTAATCCATGGATCTTTGTCAGAGGTTATAATTGTACCTCTCCTTCTAGATCTTTCATGTGCTTGACTCAGAGCTTAGATGAGCATAGCACTATGCACCTCAAGTTCCATTTCAGCCCAGCCCAGAACCACAACAAACAAAAAATAAAATAAAAATATAAAAATTCTTAGCATAGGTCACCAGTTGTATTAATGTGGAGTTCAAGGTAAAAAATTTGGCCCTAGAGCTACCTGGTGGTACTTCTCCCAACAGACAATATGGTAGGACAGATATGTTGGATTTAGATATCTAGTCAATGTGAGCATTCAGTATTTAGGCTGTTTTGCTGATTTTGGTCTTGGTTGTGTTGTTTGTGTATATTTCTCACCAGTTTACCACCCTTTCCTTCCAAAAACAAGAATCGATAAAAATATCACGTTGGCATTTCATTGAACAAAAGAAAAGTGACTGAATTAGCAGGTATGGGAGCATATGTGACCATGAAAGTTCACCATGATGCTAGCAAAAATTCAAATAAGACAATGATTACACCCGAATTGGCAGTGCTCTTAGTCATAAGAATGAATGTAGTTGAGACAATGCAAAGAGTTTGACCATAATGACCACCAATTATAGTACCTTCCCATCTTTTAATGTTTCATTCAACAAAAACTTCAGAGATTTCTACCATCCTAACTTTTGGAACAAAGATGGAAAGATTTGAAAAAAATTTAAAAGATCAATAGGACCATGAAATCTTAAAACAGCACTTTCATATCCAAAATCCAAAATGACATACCATTTTCGGAGTATTTTGCTTCTCTCACTCCCAGTAAGCTTGCTCCATGCTGCAAAACCGCAAAGAAGTCATAACCATTACATGGTCACATATGGAATTAAAGATATTATCCAACACCACATGCAAAAGGTATTCCATGGGGATGCTTGCAGAAACCTGTCAATAGCATCAACTTTGATTTACAAATTCCATCCATCCCAATAATATACTTCCAAAACAGAAAACCTTTTTATTTTATTAAATTGCAGATAATATAATCTATTCTCGCACTATTAAACGACTAAAATTTGTTCCAAGTTTAACACAGCCATAACACTAACTACAATGGGTTTCCATAGAAATCCAGGAATGGATGGATATCTAACAACCCATACATAGTTGACATTCTACACTGGACTTCAAAAGTTTGTATGACTCAGTGACATGAAAAGCAGAGCACTTCCTATGGGGCGTCTTCTGGAAATTAATATTGTGTTTTGACCGTCTTTCAAAAGGCAAAAAATGTAGAACATTATTGGCACCATGAGAATATAACATGCCAAAACTTTGATCACCAACTACAAGACAGTCACTAATTCCCACTAAATTGTTTAGCTCTCCACCCAAGGCTGAAAAATGATGAAAACCCATTGCTCCATTTTATGTTCAATGGACTGCATTGGAACGAAATACTAAGAAAACTGCGAAGAAGTACACGGTAGCCTGCAAAATCTATTGGTTTTCTGTATAGGAAGCCTTCTCCATATTTCTGCTGGAATTATACCCAGCATGCACGAACACCTGATGATCACTAATAGCAAGTCAAACAGCAGTTACTGGTTATCATGCTGCTAAGTTGTCAACTTGCAAGGAGAACGAAAATAAATAAGGAAGGCTCTCCATTCCAGCAAATTATGAAAGGTCCATGGGTAAAAAACCCAAGAAACAAGTGGTGCAGCATTATTTTCAAGACCCAAAGTAGAATAGTTAGCACCGCAATTCCATGGAGAGAAAAATCATAGTTAGGATTACCAAGGTAAAGGGTTTGAACCAAACTCACCCACCACACAGAGAGAGAGAGAGAGAGAGAGAGAGAGAGAGAGAGAGAGACCATGGTAAAATCCCCAAAACCATGGGGAGGCCCATTGCAGTAGAGGCACCATGTGACACGACTGATCTAAGTCCTCATATGTCGCATTGATCAGGGTTCTAAAACACAATATTGTATACCCATGCAGTTCCAATAACTAAGCTGACCACAAAGCATGTCCAAAATAGGCCACCTCTGGAATTAGACTGATGTAGTTCATCGTATTGCTTTCCCGGCAGTATAGATAGTCAAAGGAAATATAGAACAATGAGGATAGTCAAAGGAAATATAGATACACAACCAAAATGCTCGTGAATCACAATGTATGGCACATGGGAATTATTTGATTTGATCCATTAATCCTGAATATGTGTTTTTTTCTTGTTCTTTTCAAAGGAAGATTGGGGGTTCCGACAAAATGCAGTTTGTGCTACGAATGAAATTCTGCTCATGCAAATGAAGCCTGGGAGCAACTTGATCATAACAATCACAGGTAAGCCCCGTGACGCACATCTACTGCAGCATGCTGAATTAGCATGAATTTGATGGCCATACTTCAATGCATGCATCGTACAGTAGCTTAAGGTAACCAGTTATGACATGTATCATCTCCAACAGGCTGCTTCATTCACTGAGTCCATGAGACATGTGGTAGAGTAGATTAGAAATATTATAAACTAAGAATGGTAAGTAAGAGTGCTATAAATGAGGTTTCTCAATTAATGGAGTGGAGATGGTTCTTATGTTTTGGCGAAGGAGCAATAGAAGCATCGAACCATCTCTATCAGAACATAATAGAAAAGCTGTCACATTTTAGGACTTAAACATTAGGAAACAAAAGTTTGCAAACAATTTTATCAGCTCTAACAATTCAAAAGAAGTTACTTGCACAGAAGATTAAGTACAGACTACTTGAGAATAAAAGTTGAAATCATCAAAAACTAGTTTATAAAGATTTTACAATGGAATGCGTTATATGCAGCTGAAATAGCATCAGTTGTCTCCTTCCTTCCCATAAATGGGATGTCTGCAATCAGTTCCCCAGTCGCTGGGTTTTCTACCTGCCATAAGTAAGATACATCGCCATCATCGATTTGATTTTGAAATATCAAACATGGAGGAAAAAGATAAGAAGCATATGTTCAGGTCTAAGGTACTTCATTTCACACTCACTAGATCAATGATCAGTCAGATTCAGCACAAAGGGGAACTTCTGAACAAGAGTAGAGTGTATACCAAATATAAACATAAAGCAAACATTTCTCATACAGCCATGCACTATTACGAAAATGATGCCAGATACAAAACCAGTAGGATCCGTTTTAAGTTTTATTACATAGATGAAAAAGGTAATGGGGTAATACTTGGTGTTCCAACAGATGCCTGTTAAAAACTTTACTGGGAATAATCCAAATACGGAGGTCATTCACTGCTTGAGAGGAACATATGCCACACGCAATATAAATGGGATGCACTTATGCAAAGAACGTGTAATATTTCAAAGAGCAGGACTTTCAGCTCAATGAGAGATCTAAAGCACAAATTTCCAGTTACCTCTCTAATAAAACCAATATGAAATCATGAAAAAAAGTGCACAAGCAAAACACAAAAATAAAAGAAATATTACATCTATGAAGAGCCATCAAAACAAAAACCAATTTATTTAGAACATTGAAAGAAGTTCCCTATAGGTCGCTAAAAGACAACGTAATGACTAAAACATACACTAACACTCAATGGCAGACATATGTGACCAAAAAAGGCTGGAATAGCAAAAATCTTCATACATATGAAGTAATGAGGAGATGTGAGGTGTGCCAAACAGTCTTTGGACAACTTGTCCTCAATAGTCTTTCATCTTTGAATAATTACAAGAAATGCAATTGTGGCACAATTAAAGGTACAATAAGGAAGTTATATGTAGATCCATGTAAAGAGCCTGGAGATTATGGACTACTGAAAGACGATGGTTTGACCAGATCAAGTAAGGTAACTACACAATTATTTTCTACTTTAAAAATGTCTCATTTGCAGTCCTAATGTTCCAATGCCACGATAAACATTCTTATTAAGATCTCACCCAGGCCGCATTTCAGTCATATCGGCTACAGCGGACTTTGAGGCCTGAGCAGATGCTGTGCACAGAGAGAAAAGGTGATGGCCACCATCAACCTCTTTAGGACAGGAGAGGAAAACTCCAACGATAGTGTGCCCATTAATCCATGTACGACAAGAGATGGACACACAACACGAAAAATAGAATAAAAGAGACAAAGTCCAGGGATAAGCAGGAGAATGGGCAGAAGAAAGGTCCGAAGGAAAGAGAAAGCAACTAAAGGAGGCTAATAAAGAAATTTCTCTCGAAATGATGAGCATCTATAACCACCTTATAGTGCCTAATAACTGGAAGCCAAGCAGTGAAGGGCCATGTTGTAAATGGTGAATTAAGCAAGGTCCTTGAGAGTTGGATCTCAAGATAAGGACACACACCATGCATATAATAAAAAGCAATATTGATAATAACAATCAGAACAAGGAAAAGCTTCACACAACTAGGAACCCTAGCCATTTCAACATATTTGGCGAAACGCTAATCAGCCACAATACCCTTCCCAAAGAGGGGGCTATCCATCAAAATTGTCATTACTAATCCTGAGCCTTAGGAATCTGGTTTTGGGCTGTTTTTCGTTTTTTTTTTTTTTTCTTTTTTTCACAGAACTACAGTTACAATGTCCCTTCAATTTTGGTCAGTCAAATTACAAGCTGTCTGTATTTCTAATTATACTTAATATAACGAGTCATTTTTTCTCGAAAAAATAAGACAGCTAGGAAATAAGCATGATGACAAATGAAGCTTGCATGTGTGCTCCAAGCATTTCCAAGGACGAAGACAGCATTCAGGATTTTAAACTAAGGATCAATGAGTAATCTAGAGTACTCTATGAAAACCAGACAGGAGAGCTGACATATGTCCCAGTAGATGTCCAGGCAGAGGACCAGAGGCAGCAATCAGTACATTCCAGGAGCCAGGGAAAAGGAGTTTAGGTAGGAAGGCCTAGAACCCCAAGTGAACTAGATGCTAGGTACCCGCTCCAGCTCCTTGATGATGGACCAGAATGTAATTTAGAGGGGTGAGAAAAAGGGTGGAGGCAGAATATCTCATAAGCCAAAAGTTTTCCTACACCCGCAGGAGTATACTATCTATTTACTCCCTCGAGCAAAACACATGGTAGGAATACCTGTTTAGATCTCAAATATTTGGGATGTAATCTCTAAAACTCAAAATAATCTCAGAAAAAAAAATTCCAAAATAAACTCTCTATGTACTAGAACAAACTAATGCCTCAAGACTGAATAGAGACCATCCAATTTTTGAAAGGCAAGATCTAAGGGTCAAAACACTCAGAATTAAAAAATTTCTTTTAAAAATAATCATCTAGTAACTCTTTGTGGTTCCCAAAATTTTAGACCAAAAACTCCTCCTAAATAGGTGTTTTGAGTGAGGGAGTAGATGCAAAGAATGCTCCCGCAAAAGCATAGCATGTCCTCATCTCATAATTCCAGAGCATGTCTAGATACACCCAAACCACATATGGTCTTATTCTTCACGACCATGTCTGCTTCCCTAGATAAATGAATAAACAACAACAACCTCAACAGCAAACAACAACAACTCCCAAGCAATGGAAAAGTCAATTTCTAATAGAAAAAAAGTAAAGATACAAAGCATCCAAACCTTTAAGGTCTTTCTGTCATGGGCATCACTCCATTTTCCTCCTATAAGGCCTTGAGTTCGTAACAAACCAAGACTGCTGAGCCGAGAAGAAACCTTTGATGCTTCTGTGCTCATCTGTCACAACAAATATTCCATAAGAAGAAGAAGGAACTATTCTCAAAAAACAATTTCACAAATGCTATTGTAATGGAAAAACCAGGTCATGGCATCTTTATATCTGCTAAACTGCATTTTTTGTCCCGCTGGGATACCATAAGTTCCTCGAATCAGTTTGGTAAAAAGGTGCATCAATTAATATGCCCCAACTTATCAAAGAAAATATAATGAATTTCTAGAAGAAATATGAATCACATAAACATCATGAAGATTTCACAAACTCGCTATTGATAAGTTCTACAACCACTGCACTCCTAAATTAAGAAGAAGGCTGACAGGAAAGACACGCAGAACTGACTGTGTTTGTTTGCAAAGTCCTAATAAATCAACAACAGGAAACTTAATCAAATTGTTGATAAGCAAACTTAATCAAGTTAGGCTTCCAAAAACTTTTAATAATAAAATATGGGGGTTGCAAACAAGATGCATTTGGGGCATCAATAATCTAGTCCACTTATTGGACCTTCTCCAACACAACACAAATGTCAATTGTTAAATAAGAAAACAAATAATGAAATACAGAAGTTAGCAAGTCTTGTTCTGTTGGGGAGTCCATTGAATGCCTAGAAGACAGAAATAAAAACTAGAATTACTTTGCTTTGTAAATTCAATGAAAGGGCTTCTCCATTGATGACCTACAGTCCCAAAGATCAACAAAATCATAAATTTGGCAAAATTAATTATATCAAACATAGAAACAATCACCAAGTGCGTAGAAAATGCCCACAAATATATGTAACAACCCTAGAAGGCTCCGTCTCTGGATTCTATCCTTCTATTTTGACAATTTCGGCAGTTCAAACATACAGCAATGATACACATACATTCACACAGGAAACATTTGAATGTCGACCCTTTGGGCTTTGATCATGGAATTCAACTACTGAACAGCTTTGGCCACTGAAAATGTAAATTAGCAGTTATAGATGATATTTATTACATTACAAGAAACCGTGGTGCACTTGGACAGGAGGATCCATCAACAAACCAGGCCTCATTTGGAAATTCAATATTTTGCATTGGAGGACTACAGTCTTTTGGCTACAATTATAAAGGGTTAGTAGGAGAGCGGACAGGATGATGTAGAGTAAGATAATAGGCAGGTAAAGCTGAGCATCAGGGTGTGGAGAGGGATTACTTCAGTTGGTCTTTCAGTTCAAGCTGAATCAGCTCAGGCTGAGTAATGTAGAGCGAGTGAAGTTCTTGATTAATAGATTATTTCAAAGAATGAAATGGTGCCATGATGACAGGGATAGTTTTCAGGGATGTAGAGATGACATTTTCACTACTTCATATATTTAAAAGCTAAAGATCATCACATCAACCAAAAACAAAGAACACTTCTTTTCACTAGTAACATAAAGAAACATCTTGTGGAGAACATCAAGGATAGATTTCAAAGGCTTAAAGATGGACTTTTTACTTTGTCATATATTAAAAGCAAAAGACCTCCAAATGAACTAAAAAATAAGATAACTTCTTTTTGCTAGTAACCATAAAGAAGTAGCATCAAGGAGTAAGGGATTACATAAATTTTCTCCTTTCTACCATGTATCTACTTTTAAAACAAGATGAGTTCTTAATCCATCAACACCAAGTAATTTATTTTGTAAATGTACAAGGAAACAACAAACTGCCTGTTAGGTATTGTAGACCTTAAAGGCCTAAACTCCGTTTCCCCATGTTGAGCATTTACGTTGTTTTCTAACATAAAAAGGACACTCCTAGTCAAGTGGGAATGTTGGACTATGAGTGGTTCTATGTGAATTAGAGCGGTGTTACATGAATGTCATTTGTGAGCAGACACTGTGGCGCGGGCACTATGGGACTTAGAACCGCCCCTACCACTCTCGTCGTAGTTTGCGGTATAGGCCTTCGCTCCATTGAATGGAAAAACCTGAAAGTTGAGCTGCAGTTTGGCTCAAGGTCAAACACACCAACCGTGGAGGGTTTTGAGAGCCTAGTGGTAGGACCATAGTTACCAAGAATAGGAGTGAATTAAGGGAAGGGGAACGAGCTCAATACATCGTGAGATAAAGGGATTGAGATCCCAAACATTCAGGGAGTGTGTTCCCTAACTTCCCAGGAGCGAATGCTAAACAAAATAGGATTGTGGTCCATCATGCTTAGGACCAAGGTTCCAAAATATCACTTATCCACGGTATTCTAGTTTGGAGCAAATTCCATTAAACAATTATTTAATCAAGTTTCATTCTTAAAAATTACTCATGTGAGTCCATTACAAAAATTGCACACCGACCTACATTGGCCTGCAAATGGCGTCATTTTTGGCACCAATCAGTTCAATAGGACAATTCCACCTTGACTATCGATAGATTGTTTTCAAAAAAAAAGAAGTATTACGTTAGAAAAGCTATCCTTTGAAAAAAACAAAAAAGACATTGCTATATACTATTCTCAATAGCTATCCTCCGTCAAAGATTGCTCAGGGCTCAAGGACATATAGCAAATAGATACCTCACATTTACAAGCATATATATTATTTCGTCACCCATAAGGCCACCCCATGAGTGGCTCAATTTGGGTGACAAACACTCAAACAATAAAAGTCCTTCAAGGGGTGGACAGTACCCAATGAGCTAGCACTATCTTTTTTATATCCTTCCATCTTCTTCCTTCTCTCCCCCTGCCCTCTCTTGTTGCCCTTCTTTAAAACTTGTCCCAAGTCACAATTCACATGGCGTGTAAAGCTGTAAACTATAAAATATATAGAAAATCAGCACGATTAGAAAGTTTGTAGGTCATAAAAAATTGGAGATCCACGCTGCATTGTATATGAACCAAAAAATGTGCTAGTGAAACTCGCTCCCAAAGTAGAAGATACTCGATTCCAAGCTTGTTGAATCACGGTTCCAATTACTACGGAACCATGATTTTGGGAATACGATCTGGATCCCATTAACTAGGGATCTAGTTCCCCGATTCCTATCAAAATCCCTAAAAAAAGGAAACGCCTGGAATCGAGATCCCAGGCGTTAGAGCAGGGGACCAAGCTTCTGGAGCAGAAGTGACCCCCTCCTTAGAAAAATAAATGTAACTACAGCTAGGACTGGTAGCACAAGGTGAAACGATACTCCTTTATTGGTTGGTAGAGCTAGGAGGCCCCGAGAATAGGTCTTCTATATAAGGGTTGGACGTTTGTGATGGAAAGGGCCAAATCCTCAAGAATACCACCCTTATGGTAATGCTCACATGATAGTTGCATTAATCAGGTACTTTGATTGGAGCCCAGGGATAGTTATGCATGTGCAGGAGTAGAGAGGACAACCACATTGGGATAATTTAGTGTTTGTGATGGGCACGGTGTTCGGGATGGACATGAAATTGTCCTTGGAAGCGCACTTATAATTCAATAAACAATGCTTCAGTCCGTCTATACCATGGTTGGTTTTGATAAGCCAATCATGAGCCCCTTGTAGAGAGACACGTGGGTCATGAGTCTGTTGGGACAGATTGCGAGATAGAGAGTGATTTATAAGGTTAGATGGGGTGGACTACCCACTTGTAAGTTCATATATATCCCACTAAATGCCCTCTCTTTCAAAGATCTTCCAAATGTTTTAAAGAGCTTGGTTTTTATTTTCATAAGAGAGTCCACAAAATATGTGTTTTCATTTCATTAAATGTGAGAACGGTTTTATGGAAATACAATTATGCCTTATTCTAGAGACTAATTGAAAGGTGTAATTATGTGGAACTCAAAGTATTAAATTCAAAAAAAAATTATTTTATTCCAAATACCATAATTCCACTTACATAGATCATTCTGTGTTGCTGTAAATTAAAATAATACCCTAGATACAACCTAGGATCTTTCTTTTTACTACCAAAGAAAATAAAAACTATCCAAGAGCTTTAAACTAACTTCTAATATAATTCTTAGTACAAAACACGTTCCTGAAAATTGATAGAAAAATAAGAAATAATATTGAAAAGTAATTAAAACTACTGAGAAGAATTACAGGAAGATGCTTGGAGTTACTCTCATAGGTCTTGGTACAACCCACACCCGATTCCCTGATTGATGGTGCACTTTTTTTCCTTTAGGTGTTGCTGGAAATTCGAGATAGGGAAGTTTTATAGGTAATACTTCTTTTTCTAGGGTTTTAGAGAGCTCAAAAATCAAACTAAAGTTTATAGAAACCCTATGGAATAAACTACGACAAGGTTAGAGGATTTATTTCTTTCTTGGTTGGTTGTGCCTCTCTTCTTCTTCAAAAATCAGCAAACCTTAGCTCTAGGGTTTCATATGATACAAGCTCCTCTCTTTTATTTTTTGGGTGGTGTGATACACCTAAAGAAGGTGAGAGAGGTGGCATGACACCAATATGGAGGAGAGAGGGTAGAGTGCCTCCCTATGGGTTAAAGAGACGGGAGCCACGTGACTTCCAAATTGTTTGAGAAATAGAGAGAGAACAAAATTGGTGTGCGGAGGAAACAGGGAGAGAAAATAATTGGTAATTGAGAGAGAGAGGTCTTAGGGCATGAGAGAGAGAATTCTTTGTAATGAAAGAGGGGTCTGAAAACTTGTTTAAATAGAAGGAAGATCTATTTCCTATTTTGAATAGGATTCCAATCCAAGTATGTCTTATCCAATTTCCAGCTAGACTTTTTAGGATAAATAGGAAATCAGTTGGGTGAGAGAGATTTAATCAGAGCCATTCATCCCACAAATCAGCCATCATGATTTTGGGCGGAAACCTTGTCCCTTTAGATTTTGACCCAAGTCCAACTCCTATTTAAATTTGAAATACAATCAAATTTAAATATCTAGATCTCCCATAATCAAATATCTGAATTTTAAATAACTCCACTACAATAAGAAATAAAATCTTATTTAAAATTAAAAGATTCCTATCTTATCTTTAAATAGTTCAAATTTTAAACAATATCAAGAAAATGGGGAGTGCCCCCCACTTCCTAAAAGAGTGGCACGCCCATTATTCTTACAAAAGTGGAGTGTCATATTCTTAAAAAAAAAAATGAACTAATTTTAACAAAGTGGACATGCCCCCTTTTTCCCCCAAAAAGTGACGTGCCCACTTTTTTCACAAAAAGTGGCATCCCACTTTTTGTTAAAAAAATAGGGCATGGTCGCCCTATGGATGGCACGTGGTCCCTACTCTAAAAAAAACACACACACAGGTGGGGTTAGATCCTTGGTCCCACATGTGGTATTTTAAGTTCTAAAAATTTTAGAATTACCCTTTTGATGAAAATTACAGCAGAAAAAATATTTTAAATTTCTAAAAATTATTTAAAAATCATAAAAGCATTACTAATATGAAAATAAAATATACTAAGAGTGGACTGGTACCAATGGGTCAAAATTCGTGATAATAAGGGCACTCCACTCACCCAAGAAACTATAATCCAGGACTGTTTTCTTATCCAACCCAGCAAAGACCCATGACCAATCTCAAAGCAGGGGCTCATGTTTGGCTTATCAAAGTTTGATAATAAACAGTAGGACTATGATCCTAAAATGTGGATTTCAATTCTCCCTTTAAGACCAAGTCTAACACTTATCACCACAGCGCAAAAGGGGGCTCTCTCTATAGATATATACATGTATTCTTCTATTCATGTGTTCTTCTATAGGGTTGTTTCCCAATAATGCGGTTGTCATGTGTACATGCTATGTGGAAGTTTCTTGAGGCTTTGGCCCTTGCTCTTATAGGCCTACAATTGCACACATGAGACTATAATACAGTTACAGCCCCAAGGAGCACATGGTGGAAAGGTCAAAGGATGATGATCATCAAACATGGAAGGAAAAAGATGGAAAAGATTCTTCATGAGCTGAAATTTCATTGCAAAAGTTGATCTCAAGGGCCCAAACATCTGGCGCAAAGATTGATCCAAGGCAAACACATGGGCAAGAAGGATCGGCCATTGTTGCGAAAAATCTCAGCAAAAGAATGAAGAAAAACAACCATAAAAAATATGGTAATGACCAAGAGAGACACCTTCAGGCATCAATAGCCAAGGTAATCTGATATCCACATCATCCCCTGTCAGAGAACACACAGCAGGACATCTCTGATGTCATTCCACATGCAAAACAGGAGGTTTCCCTTATGTGGCTGCAAAACATTGTAGAGAAAGATGATCTCTAATGGCTGTTAGGGGCAAGCTAGTAGTCTCTATTACAGAAAATCTCAGCAAAAGAATGGAGGAAGAACAGTCATGAAAAACATGGTAATGAACAAGAGAGCTGCCTCGGGGCATCAATGGCCAAGTTAATCAGATCTCCACATCATCCACTGTCAGAGAGGCATTGCAGGCCAACTTAGATGTCTTTCCACATGCAAAACAGGGAAGAATGCTATCCCTTATGTGGCTACAAATCAGGGTAGAGAAAGATGATCTCTAAGGGCTGTTTGAGGCAAGCTGGAAAAGAGAGTTTTTCAATGGACTGCAGACCATGCGAAATAGAGGAAGGTGTTGTCTCTATGTCCGAGATTGAGGAAAGATGATCTTCAAGGTCTGCTGCATCAGAGAGGAAAATCAGTAGTTTACTAGAGGCGCACAAGTGGAAGTGGATCATGTTCTTTGATGGGCTGTGTGAGCACAAGAAAGAGAAACCCTAGAGATGATGAAAACCATATAGAGGATGATAAATCCTACTAGTCACATAATAGAAGATTCTTGAGTTGATTTGTTCCCACTAAGTCAGCAAGGGGTTTGAGCAGGTACCCCACCTGTCGATTTTGAGTTTGAGTAGAAGACATTGCCGAGTTTAGTAGCCAAGATCTCCCAATCTAGGTGGCGATCCCTCCACAGAATCTCGCTCCCACGTTTTGGGAAAGGTTTCTTCAAAGGATATAGATTTTTAAATTCCAAAGATCCCAATTGCACTATTAAGCATCTTTGATGCTCACTCTTAGGGATCTTGATCCCCACCACAAAGACCAAGATAACGACCAAAATGATGATTTTCAAACCAGCTAACAATGCAACTATACTTTTAATACACTTGCATTAATTTCTTGCTATAAATAAAGAAATACCTACTTTAAAAAGTGTGTATTATCCTATACTATTATACTCCTTAAGGTCAGGATCAAGATCCCCAAGAGGTTGGCATCGAGTTAGATATGTCAATGGCTAAAACATGCATTATACAGACAACACTCTAAACCATAGGGATCTTCTAGCCAATCACGATCGCCCCACTCCCAATTCCTATTCCGTTCCCAATTCGCTCCCAATCCCAACGAGTATGGGTAGCACTTGTAAAGTGGGTTTGCCAGTACAAACCAGAAAAAGATGATCAAAAAAATTTTGAAAATTCATTACCCCGCAACACCAGTATAGCTACTCACATTGCGAGTCTTCAGGCACTACAACAGAATACAAAGTAAATTTAGCCTCAGAATTTGCTATCTTCGATAGAAATCTTCACCCAGCATGATTCAGATGTTAATTTCAGTAAAAATCTAAGTTCAATCATAGTGTACACAAATGACATAAATACACCAAGGTTGGGAACCTGAATAATTAAACATAATACAATAGTTGTGATAACTAAAGCAAGCAATTCTAGATTCGACATGAAATCCGTTATACTAATAGACGCCCTTCCTATTCCATTGACAGCTTCAAGTTTCCTTCATAGCTACACAATTTTCTCGCTGCAATGCAAATTTAAGCTTCACCATTCCAATAGAGCTCACATAAAAAACAAACCTGCACCGCTTAGAAGTAACATTCAATAACTATCGCGTAACAATCGACCATGATGGAACAAAAGAAGTATCAATGCTATATGGAAATCTTCAATCAGAAGAGAAAACTCCACCTACAAGCTTGGGCCTCTTCCTCTCTTTGGATCATGTAATATTTTCAGCACATTAATCGTAATATAGTTCCAGAATCCAGACTTACATGGTAGGATTCATCTAATGAGCATTCTATACACCACCCATTCTAGCCAAGAAAATACCACCTCACCGCAAGAATGAGAATGGCATTCAAACATATTCTAGGCCTTCCAAGCCTGATCAAAATTTAATCAAATGTGAGGCCAACACTTCACATCGTCATCATCGGAGCCTCTTCATTACACATCTAGTGATCAAAACTGCTCTGACTCAAGCGCAAGGACCTTAGAATGACACCCTCTCTCGACCATAACATGTAATCCTTACAATACTAAGAGAAATAATGAGAAATAATAATAACAATGAATGAAGATCAAGAAAGAAAGAAAAAAAAAAAGACTAAATGACCATCTCATGGTAATGACAAAAGCATTAAGAAAACGCCGTAATCAGATAGTGATGTGAAGACATACTAGAAAAAACGCATGCAGGTGTGTTACAGTAAGCTATCAAAAATCCAAATCCACATAAACGCCATTGCTGTGGCAAATCAGGCTCACAGTTATTACTTCAACCCAAGGTTAACAAATAAAGAAAACTACGATTTCACAGCAAAGATAAACAACAAATAACTAAAACCACCATACAATGCCTGCAATTCACTTGACTGGTGATGTGGGTGGTCACTAAACAAGCAAAAGGGACTCAAAACCACTACTCGCTCTACAAAATAAAAACCAAATTAGATATAAATACATAAATAGAGAGAGGGGTAGGGATACCCTGCACAGTCGCATGAAGGGAGACAGATGGCAGGACCGGAGAGCCATTCTGAGCATCATGGACATGTAGAGAGAGAGAGAGAATCAATAGCCACTTAGCAAAGCAGAGTTGCAGGCGTGGAAACAGAGCTTTTAACCCACCCAGCCAAATGAAACAGAGGTTGGGCCTTGCAAGTGGACTCTCAGAAGAGGGAAAACGACGATTCTCACTCACCAAACACTACAATCGTGGAGAAATCAGCAAAATTATCTGTCTCTAATGGAGAGAGGGGGCTCGCACCTTGATTTAATTATTTTATCCGTAGCAATTTTGTCAAACTCCGGCCTTCGAATTGAATGTGTTGTCTGGCTTTATTTCAAAATACCCAGAACAAAAAAAGTGATTTTGAATTGTAATATTAGGAAATGGGTAGATTGTTAAATAACTTATCCCCTGTTGACGTTTCGATAAATTTCTCCAAAAAAAAAAAAACATCAAAGTGGTTTAATGCATCGCAAATCAGTAAAGTGACTATTTTTAAAGGAAAAAGTTTATGCAAGGTTGCAACGGGAAATTATTGTAAATAACCTTAAGCATAATTAGAAAGTCTACACCTTTTTTTTTCATTTTCGACTTTTTTTTTTTTTTTTTTTTGTGACCAAAATGAACTTCACGGTACTCTTACTACCGTAATACATATCATTTTATACGATATTTAAAATATCGTAGTAACTTCAAGTAATATTATGGTATTTTAAGTGCCGTAAAACTCGGGCCATGATGGTAAAGCCAATTACGGTATATCGTAAAAACTAAAACTCATTATATGTCATTTTAAGTACCGTAAAAACTAACACATCTTATATGGTACTTAAAATACGATATTTTTATACGATATTTAAAATATCGTAGTAACTTCAAGTAATATTATGGTATTTTAAGTGCCGTAAAACTTGGGCCATGATAGTAAAGCCAATTACGGTACTTTAAGTACCGTAAAAACTAAAACTCATTATATGTCATTTTAAGTACCGTAAAAACTAACCCATCTTATACGGTACTTAAAATACCGTAAATCATTTTCTCATTTTGTTTGTCTCTTTCATCTCTAATTCTTTTTATATTTATCTCTTCTTTCTCTCTCTAATTCTTTTTAATATGTAACTCTTCTGTCACTCTCTAATTCTTTTTTATCACTTCTTTCTATCTCTACAATCCTTTTTTATCTCTTCTTTCTCTCTCCACAATCTCATCATCGTTTCTTAGATAGATCATGTTCTCTATTTTGTATAGCCGAAGTCAGTGTTTGATTACTCTATCTAAGGAAACGATAATGAGAGTGTAGAGAGAGAAAGAAGAGATAAAAAAGAATTAGAAAAAGAAAGAAGAGATAAATATTAAAAAAATTAGAGAAAGAAAGAATAGATAAATACAAACATAATTAAAGATAAAAAAGATAAATATAATGAGAAAAGAGTTTACAGCATTTTAAGTGCCATATAACATGGGTTAGTATTTACGGTACTTAAAATGTTGTATGAGGATTAGTGTAAGTTTACGGTACTTAAAGTACCGTATAAAATACCCTTAGTATTACGGTACTAAAAGTACCGTATAAAATTCGCTAAGTATTATGGTACTTAAAGTACCGTATAACATGCACTAACTATTACGGTAACACGACTATCGTGAAGATTATTTAGGTAAAAAAAAAAACTGAAAATGAGAAAAAAGGGTGCAGACGAGATAAACAAAAGTTTGGGGTTTTTTTCCAATTAAGCTTAAATTAAGGTATATTTGCGATAATTTTTCTAAAATATAGAATTACGGATGCACCTCAAAATTTTATCGGAAAAAATGTTTTAATGGTGGAAAACCTCATCTCGATATTGAGATGTATGAATATGAAAAACAAAAAGATTTTGAGTCCTAGAAATGGTGCATCTTGCAACACATTATCTAGACCGCCCTATTTTCAAGATTTTCATATGTTTACAGATCTACTTGATTTTAACCATTTTTTTAGTTTAAAATTCTATAATTAGATATGAAAATAGATTTTTAGATAATCCTAATAAATTTTTATACCAAATTGTATGTTATGATAAAATTTGGAGGTGCGCCTTAATTGGATTGTTTAATGTGCAACCTTATAGAAACCGCATCCTTTTTTAAAAGAGTAAGTAACATAAATATCTCTTTTTAAGGGATATTCAAAAAATATCCCAAAAAGTTGCTATTTTACCGAGAGATTATTTTCTTCCCGTCTGTTTTATTATTTTTTCTCAAATTACCCTTTTGTTCGACACCTTAAGTACTGATCTTAATGTGGGGCATGTTCTCAACACAGTTTCGTACTTAGAATACCAAAAGTCTTAATTTTTATCCTAGTACACTACTCGAGTATGCAATTTGGTTTTGGACGCAATTTCTAACAAATTGGGTACTTTGAGTGTTGAAGATGTTTGATTTTACAAATATATAGTTTTTGGTACTTTGAGTATCGGATTTGTTTTTTGCCTCAATTTTTAACATTGTTCGGTTGTTTGAGTACCAAAAATGTTTTATCTTGCAAATATACAGTTTTCAGTACTTTGAGTATCGAAATTGTTTTTGGGCTTAACTTTTAAACCCGTTTGGTCCTCTAAGTACCAAAGATGTGTAATTTGTGCAAACATACAAATTTGGTAGTTAGAGTGCTAAACAAATGGGTGTTTTGGAAAAAAAAGCATCCCCATACATTAGGGGATATTTTTTAAAATATCCTGTATAGAAAAGGATATTCATGTTAATTACTCTTTTATTTCCCATAAAAGTGAAAATATCTAATAATTTCATTCACTCAAATTAATCAAGTCAAGTTACTTAAACATCCTTACATGGTCAAATGCCAAATTCCAAATATGCATTGATTCTTTTTTTCTTTTGTTTTGGGACAAATATCAAGAACTTTTATTGTTGGAAAGCATCGGTTACATAACTGGAATTAAAGTATAAAAAAAGACAAAGCGAGCAAGAAAACACCAAATTTGGCTAAGCGATCGGCATAATCATTGGCTTCTCAAAAGACATGGATGAAACAAGAAGCAAAAATGAAGAACAAATATCCATAATCTTTACCCAAAACCCGTAAAAAGACCAGCGATGAGAAACGATGTTTTGTCAGCATAGACCGTGTGTTGCCTTCCATCCCAACTATATTTGAAATACTAATGAAATGTGGATGGAACCACTCCTTGATCATGTAGCCGAGGACGACCCAGTAGGATGTTATAAGACGTGTTTGTGTGAATAACATGAAATACTATAGAATTGTTCAAATCCCTGATTTTGAGCTTAAGACTAATGGTACCAGTCGGCTTTTCTCCATACTGATTAAATCCTTGAACCTTTAGGCTTCTAGGTTCAAGCTGCTCCACACTTAACCCAAGCAGGGTAAGAATCCTTCGAGGCATAAGGTTCACTGATGATCCCCTATCTAGCATGATTTGGTTGACCTGACAGATGTGTAGCTCACCAGTCACAAAGAGAGGTCGATTGTGGAGTTTTTCTCCCAGTTGTAGGTCGTCGTCTGAGAATGTGATAGCCATTAATGATTGAGTATTGCAGGGTCTACCTCGACTTGTTCAACTTCTGTTTCATATACTTTAGGGTAGGAGAGAGCTTGTACCAGAGCCATTCGAAAGTCTTCAGACAACATGAGGGCATCATAGATACTCATGAGAGCCAATAGTTTCTTCAGGTGCCCGATCACATCATATTTGGCTTTGTTGGGCTTAGGAAGGGTGGTTCCTCAAATTTCCACTGATTTTAAAGGGGCAGGTGGCGATGGGACGGTTTTTGAAGAGGAAGGATTTGCTACAGCCGTCAGGGAAGAGTCAGCTGTAGTCGTGGGATTATGCGGAGAAGGTTGGCTAAGACTACACGACTGGGGCGGGTGTAAGCGAGATAGGACGGGGTGAGATTTGCGATGGTGCATAAATTTTAGCATGGGAAGATGAGGTGTTTGGGTAAGGGACCGCTGGAGGTCTAGGGTATTTTAAGAAAAAAGGTGGTTTATGGATGGAAGTGGTTGGATCTGAATAAGGGGATCAGTGGTGGTCCAGGATATTTTAGGGTTTTAGATGGGGCTGGCCTCTGGATCTGCTTTAACCTTATTCCTGACCGCAACCGTATTTGGTCAACCGGAGCTGCTGTATATCCTTCGTGAAATATCAGCATATGGCACGCCTCATAATTGGAAGGGCTCCCTCCTCTTGAGTTCTCTAACAATTCCCTCAAGTTGGGTTCAACGGACTGTTGAGGCTTCATCACTGCTAGGCTTGGCACTTGACGGCCTTGGGGCCATCGTTCAAATTGAATGGACTCAAGATGGCCTTGGGGCAATATCTCTTCTACCTGCTCGTGACAGCCTTGGGGTCGCAGATCGGATGAAGTGAGTCCATCTTCCTATACCTCAATGACATAACAATGAACAGTGTCACTTGTCTCAGACTCTCTCGTGACTTGCAATGGATAGAACCAATTTTGTTTTAGTAGGTCTTTTGAGATTGAAGACTCTACTTTTTGCTTTCAGAGTGGCACTTTCATCCCCTTCGTCTGTTTAACTCGCAAGATCCTATAGATCTTCTCCCAGAATCGAAACCGACTTCAATTGGCTTGTCTTACGGCGATGCAAGAAAAGTTGATCAGCTCCTGTAACGTATGACATCCTGGGAGAAGAGAGCTCGTAGTTGACTTTGGAAGCTTAGGTTTGCCTGAAGAAGGGGGGTGCTGAATGGTCGTCTTTGAGGGTATCCTCTTGCCCTGAACTTTGCCCCCAAGGCTAGCTCGTGTGTATAAAGAAGGAGGAGTATACAAGATAGTCCTCAAAGGGAACTTCTTCGAGTACCACGTAGAAAGTAGCTTCGGGGTAGTGAGGGGTGCGTTTGACGCTTCTTACCCTTTTCCGTTGATAGCATCACCAGACCCGCAGGTGTGTGCATGGTTCACAGTAGTGTTTGGGATGGTTTGTGACCCAACCTCTGGTGAAGTGAAAGGCTATGTATTTGAAATGCTTGCCTTTTTAATTGGAATAGCCTTAGGGCTTCCTGCATACATGTGTATTTTCTTGGAAGACTTTCGATTTCCTTGAAAGTAGTGTGCTCGTTCGGTTCCAGCCTTTGGGCTGCTCTGAGCCTTGAGATCAACATGCGATACATTGGTGGCTCGAAGACCACTTGTGGTGAGTCCGATGACGAAGTCTCCAACTTGGACGAAAGGTGCTCAAACCCCTTTTCCCCTAGTTTTTCTAGCCTGAACTACGATTGTAGGGCCAAGCAGGTCGCTTGAGGAGGACAGGGGAGAAGCGTGATTAATTGTTCTGCTCTTCATAGGTGAGGTCACAAATATGGGG